CTGATATTACCATAAAAACTATTTCAGGTCTGTGCAGTGTCGTATGACATCTATGTACCAAGTTTCATTGAAATGTGATGATTAGTACTTGAGATATCAGTGGAAAAACCGAAAATTGACTAATCATTATGCAAATTAGGTAATTAGTATCCACGGATTATTACCAAAAACTAATCAAAACCTAGCATTAGTTCAGAGCATCTATGTACCAAGTTTCATCAAAATCCAATGAGTGGTTGTTTAGATATCAGTGGAACAGTCATGGAACCACTAAAAAATAGCTAATTATCATGCAAATTAGGTAATTAATATGCACGGATTTTTACCAAAAATTAATCAAATCTGCGCATATGTTCAGAGCATCTATGTACCAAGTTTCATCAAAATCCAATGAGTGGTTCTTTAGATATCAGTGGAACAGTCATAGAACAGCTAAAAATTAGCTAATTATCATGCAAATTAGGTAATTAACGAGCATGGATTTTTACCAAAACCTAATCAAATCTGCGCATTGGCCCAGAGCATCTATGCACCAAGTTTCATCAAAAACCGATGTATGGTTCTTGAGATAGCAGTGGAACAGTCGGACACACATACACACACACACACATACACACATACACACATACACACACACATACAGACACACTAACTGCAAAGACTCCCATTTTGTGCTTCGCACATGGGAGTCAAAAAAAAAATTAAAAACTTGAGTCAAAATATGAGCCTCCTGACCGCACCAGTCACTTATCCACGACTGCAGATATAGCAAAGATACTATGGTTTGCGTAAAAAGGGTGAGTTTCGTGATTTCGACATCAAATATGCCTTTGCTTCATTATTTGCTGAGAGACGGCCGCTTAGGTATGTGCTCTGTAACTTACAGCACGTGAACCCTAAAACGTTAGGTAATCAAACAAAAATGACTTAGTACTAAAGTCCATAAAGTACGTTCAATGTCTGCATTTTTTTCGTAGCATAAAAACGATTTGCCCCCTTTCGCTTATTGTGACACCCTTAAATCAACTGATTTCCATTCCCCTCAAGAGTCAAAATGGTATGTGCCTCCATTTTACGCCACGACTGGAAAAGTCTTTTTTGCTTGACGTGTTCAATTTGCCTTCAATTACGTTTCAGTGGCTGTCACTGTCGTATTCTGAGTCTTGCCGATAACATTTTGGTTCAAATCCACAGAGCTATCGCCGAAAATTCAAGAAATCTTTCATTTCTTTGTCAACTAACATGCCGGAAATCAAATTAGCATAACAATGCGAAGGTTTTTGCCATTTTATTTGACCACTTTTCACACCAGTGCCACACCACATACAACTAAAACATTTAAACCTTTGTTGGGAAATTCATGTGTAAATTGCGTTTTTAAGTCGCGTACCATAAATTGCGTTTTACAGTCCCTTAAGTTTGTTCCGAAGACTGCAGTCGCACCAGAGATAACCAGACATTGATTCGTTTCAAAAACGTTCGTCGTTAAATTCACGTTTAAAAACGTTTTTGATCTTTGTGAATTGATGATAAGCCAACAGACAAGGTAGATTGGCCCGACTTTCTGTCAATCGGCACGCAAGGGAGATAAGACTCGATTTTCATAGACGCAGGTCGTTTAGATCGGACGGTTACATTTGTTTCAGATTCGTTGTTGTTTTGGGTGAATATAGAACATGTTCAAGCCCAAAATTGTAGCAATAATGATCACGTCGCTGTACGTTAAAACACACTCTCGAACTTGACAACATTCACTTACGGACCACTAAGATTGATGATTCGATTGCTGACCGGGATAGCTGCACTTAGTGATCATTTCTATGCAATATAAAATCATATCGATGCTGTGGGCGGCGAAGGCTGACAGATTGCTTTGGTTCTGTGGCCGACTCTCATGACACAGACAACTGACATTAGCTGACTTTTTTTTACTATTCTGACGTGTTCTGGGCTGTATATAACAGTTAAACACTGACAAGTAGGTTGGTACTAGCATGGAGCTAGCTGCATGGTACTAGTAAACAGCCCGGGACATAGTCAATATAGGAGTCTGAATCAGAAAATAGCGTCATCATACAGTATTTCATTAATGAACGACGTTCACATAACAATCTTATGCTTACAAATCATCCCATAATTATTGACAAGTTGTTACTAGCTTATACTAAAACAAACCGGTGTTTTCGGTTGTTGCCACGGTAGGCACCAAGTTCGCCAAAAAAAAAACCACTCAGTCTTTAGAAGTTACTTTATTTTATTGCTGGGACGTATTCTGCTGTTAAATTGATTATTTCCAACCGTTTTGCAGTAGTATTTTCTAGATTGAAGGCAGCATTTACAGTTCACTCAAAGTTCAAAGTTACATAGGGATTACGTTGATACAGTGTAACAATGACGGCGCCGGTGATCTCTTACCAGTGTGCAAGGTAGCAAAAATAAAAAGCATGATCATTGAACACGGCTATAATTACAAAACTGCTAGGAGGTAATAAATTTGGGGCGAAAGTATTCAAAAATCAGTTTTTTGCTGTTGCAATGACAGTGCTGGGCCAGGATTTTTTTCCAATTAGTGACAGTACGACCTACCTGTCAAGTATGAACTAAATCAGCAAAGCCAAAAAAATCACAGAGGAGTTAAAAGCCGTTGCTGATGAAAAGCCCCCCCCCCTTTGAGGTCAATTTTCTCGGTAATAAAAATAGACATAAGAAAAACAAACAGTATATTTACCTACACCCAAGCTAAGTATAATGAGCTACGGTGGACCAGAATTTGTGTTCAGATTTTACAACCTAACTACAATGAAGGTGTGATTTCCCGCCAATTGTGAACCAAATCGGCTCAGCCAAAAAAAATCACAGAAGAGTTAAAAAGCCATTTTTGGTGAACAGTTACCCCAAATTTGGGGTAAAATTTCTCTGTAATGAAAAACGATATCAAAAATTCAAATAGTAACTTTGTGCCCACACTCAAGCTCAGTAGAATGAGCTATGTTAGTGGTGTTTTATCCCAAATTTGTAGGAGATACATTTGGCGCAAAGCTATACAAAAACAATTTGGGGCTGCTGCTATGGCAACGGTGGGCCAAATTTTTTTAAAAGATTTTTTCCAATAACTAGGGTGAAGGTGTGACCTGCCTGCCAATTTTGAGCGAAATCAGCTAGCCAAAAAAAATCACAGAAGAAATAATACGTGAAAACACTGGAAATCACACACACATACAAACAAAAGTAATTATGAGGGCAATCCTAGCGGAGCGGATCGCCAATATGTTATTTAGTGTACTAACAAATTCCCACTTCCGGTCCAATTAGAATTAAAATACACCACGAATATTCACTTTTAAGATTTTTGATAAGTGTTGTAGCATTGTACTTTAATATTTCAGCTTCATCGTCCTGTACTTCATTTAGTAATTCGAACTTCCCTGATTATGTAAAATCCGAGAGATTCTCGTTTTCGATATCGAAACCGCCTTGGCTTAATTATTTGCTGACAAGTTGACAATCCCTAATAGTGCTAAATCGCCAGTTGTGAACTTTATCAGGATTCCCGAATGAAGTTACGATACACATCATTCTAGCAAGGAAAAATATTGATTCCTGTTATATAATAAAATATGAAATAATTAATATTTCATTTTTATATCTCTTTATTTATTAAAATATGTACACATTATATCTAATTGGGGTGGGTATTGCCAAGCAAGTGTATAAAATTATAAACAAATATTTTCGTAAATAACACTGACCGCGAAATACACCTTTGAGAAGTATTACTGATGGAATATTTTATATTGTAATTTCATTCAATTTCAATTAGTTGTATTGCAATGCATTAGTAATAATGTAAATATATATATACATTCCTTTATTTCATTGTTGAGACTGAGTTATACAGTTTGTTACGTACTACAATTTATCTATATTAAAAAAAACGGTTACAGGGATTATTAATTTCAATAAACAATATTCAACTATCCTTTGCAACACCAATAAGATCATAATGGTAATGTTCATTGGTCTTTGAAACTCGAGGCATTATCAGAGCATGGGTCTTATTTTGGAACTCCTGCTAGGATGGTATTCCCAGAATAGTGCCAGTTGTTAAAGGAACATAAAACTTTAATTCTCAACAAGGATGAAAGGACCAGTTACTGAGACAAAGCCTTGCTCCCCGCGAAACCCAATTACCGCGAAAGCCACTCACCGCGAAGCTACTAGTGTTTATATAAATATATATAATTTTAGGGGAGGTGCAAAAATATTCTCACTACTATTTTGAAATTGGCATTGTATATTCACCAGTAGAATTGTGATTTTTTTTTAATTTTTCCAAAAAATTCCAAATCAAATAAAAACAGGATTTTAGGGTCAGAATCCTGTATCAAATCCTGTTTTCACAAAAGTAACAACTGTGCACTTAATCAGTGTATATTTGTTTAGAGAAATGAAATAAAAAACGCTATACCACAGTCCTTTTTTCTGATACTAGTAGGTCTGAGGCTATGCCTACCTATTGGAGTTTAGTTTGGCGAGAGGGAAAACACTAAAGTGTGAACAATAGCGTTGTCTTTTTTACCTCCAAGGTCTAATGAAATTTCATAAGTCTTGTTCTTGAAATTAGTACCTTCAGAATACCGAAGTTCAGGTTAAAGTCATATGTTATGCCATAGTCTGTTCATAATTAGCCCAGTGTGTGCTTCATTGTAGTGTAGGAAAGTTGTCCCTCACACAATACTGTGCAAGAACCAGATGTAGTACATCGTACACATCTACATCCGCCATGACTCCTTCGAAGCTTTGGCCTTGAAGCAAATTGAGAATGAACTATCGACACTATTTATTATTCATGGGTTGACTAAACTACGTCACTGGCGTCACACGCCAAGGCCAGCGTCTCTCGGCGAACGAGACACTGCTGTACACCGCACTCATTACTAGTAGTTGAGATTTAACACATGCATGTTGTGGGGCACGCCGGGTACATGATTTGGATACACAGGTCAGACTTGGCGTTTTACTGGTTTACCTGGGCATTCTCTGCATTTATTTGTTGATTCTTCTTCTTCTTTCTGGCACGTTTCTTGGCACCAGCGCTTTTCGTTTGCTTCCCTTCATCCTTTTTCGTCTGAGTCTGAAGTTCTTGGTCAGAATCGTCATCTTCAACATGCAGCACAGCAAATCGGGATGCAGTCAATGACGCCATATTGGATTGTAAGTTGCGCCCTCCGACGAAAAAAGAGAAAATGTTTTCACAAACAAAACTCCTAACGATAATTTCCAGAGTAATTTCGGCGCAAAGCATGAAATAAAGTGAATAAAGGATGTACCATGATTGTTAATTCATTCACATTCAAAAATGCCTATGTACGTATGTATATGTCTGGCACATATATATGTCTATATATATGTATAGACATATATATGTCTGGCACTCCATATATATATACAACGCACTGGAGTGTCACACTGTGCTATAAAATCACTTCCAAGTATTTTAAACTAAATATTTCATGATCAGCATCAAGTGTACTAAAATGCCAATACTGAAAATAATCACCTACTCTGTTGTTTTGCTGTTACATTGTGTATTGTTTTATGAAATTGGAGTTGAGACACGTTTTTTTCGAGTACGAGATCTCGCGTTATTTCAGAATATCATTGTTCGATTCCGATTGTCATCTATTTCGATTGTCGCAGCCAAGGAAGACTTTCGAGCGCGGCTGCGATATGCGTCGTTTGTCGCCATCGAGGCGCTCCAAGTAACTAGGATTTTTTTATTTTAGAATCGGAATATGTTGTTTTTGAAGTTATAAGTGTGACCGATGGATAATATAAAGGACAGTAAAGGAAGTTCGTCGCCTGGTTCGTACTGGCGTAAGAAGATGAAGACACGCCCACTAGATGAAACTGACACAAATAGTATTAGTAATGTCCCGCTTGCGTCGAAGGAAGCGCTTAGAAACCAGAATGTAAATGAAAAACGTGTCAAAGCTATCGTGTCACAAATGGGTCTTCTCGGGACGCCTAGGAAGACGGATTCTCCCGAAGACGATGACGGCACCTGTACCGATGATGAGAACACAACTTTCATTGGGAAACACATAACGCTATTATTTGGTCCATCCGATAACAAAATCTCAATGAAAGTATTTGGCAATAAAAAGGGGTTAATGAAAGAAAGAAAGCGTCTTCGCGAGCAAGGACATTGGATCGTGCATCCGTTCAGTTCGTTTAGGTACATATAAGTTGTGGATCGTATTTTTTAAATTGACCGTTTACTGGTTAATCAGACTGGTTTCAGACGGAAGTTGTTCTCTCATGATGAACGTGCAACTTAATTTTTAAACGAAACATTTTTTTAATAGTGCATCTCCATATTCAAAAATGTTCATGGTCTTTCAAGGATCCTGTAATAGTCACACCTAAGTAATTGTACGAATTAGTTTCTTTAAATTTTAATTTGATCTAATGGCCAGTTTATATCAGTTTTTGTTGTCTTCTACCAAAGTACATTATTTATGATTTGATTGATTAAAACTTAATTACCAATTTGCTGCAATTTTAGCTGCATGGAATTATCTGTTTAGTAGTGTGTGTCATTTCGACAATGGAAAGGGGGTCGTAACATCTTTTGACGAGAATCACCACAGAACGTGGCTGACTTACCAGCAGACTTTTGTATTGATTTTATGCATTAAATTATGTTTATTGTTACTGTCCAACAGATATATAAGTATTATTCTCCTTTCTTACAGATTTTGCTGGGATTTCATAATGCTGATCTGCTTAATGCTGAACCTCATAATTCTTCCCGTGGTGATAGCGTTCTTCAACAACGATCTGAGCACACATTGGATTGTATTCAATTGTACATCGGACACCTTCTTTATGATCGATATAATACTCAACTTTCGCACGGGTATCCCTGTTCCCGGCACAGCAGAACAAGTTATCCTAAAACCAATGAAAATCGCCAAACAGTACGCAAAAACGTGGTTTCTGATAGATCTGATTTCATCGTTGCCAATGGACTACGTGTTCCTTATTTCCGGGCACGCCTCTGACTCCGACATGTACCGAGCGACGAGGGCGCTTCGAATTTTACGACTCACCAAATTACTAAGCCTGTTACGTTTATTGAGAATTTCCAGACTTATTAGATACGTCAAGCAATGGGAAGAGGCGAGTAAAGCATACACAGGGTTGAAAGGCCTCAGTTGTCGCGCGTTTGAATTTTGTGTAAATTCACAATTAGTGATTATCTAGAAGCCTTGTATTTCCGTAAGGGTAGGGTTGTAGATTTAGGATATACCATGACCGCTACCCTAATCCCACAACTCTAACCTTTAAACTATCATAACTCCTGACTTAAAGACTCGTTTTATTTATTTATTTTAGTGGATCAACGTAGCGAGTGCGGTTATACGTATATTTAATCTCATATGGGTCATGTTGTTAGTTGGACATTGGAATGGGTGTTTGCAATTTTTGGTTCCTATGTTGCAAGAGTTTCCTGAGGATTCTTGGGTGACCATCAACAACCTCACGGTAGGTGTCATTGATTGAGAAAACCAACCCACTGAAATATACTTTGCCTAATAGTGTTGCACCTTTTTTTATTTGTCGCGCCCTCTAGCGGCAAACCGCTTTTGTGACGTAAAAAAGACGTAGATGGATGGAAGCATTGCCGTTCAAAACCATAATTCTGTTTAGTTATAGAGTCTCAAACAATATTAAACAACATGTTAATTGAAGGTCAATACAAGCACAACGCTCGCCTTTTCATGGTGCAAATGCAAACATGCGAGTCCGTTGATATTCGGCAAAAAGGATATTGGTACACCCACAAGCACAATATCACGTGTGCAAGTTTACGTTACAACCCAAAACGGTATTAGCGCGCATGCGAAACGCCGTATCTTTGAGTTCCGGGAAAGTGGTCTGCGAACGGTTTTCACCAAACTCATACAGAAGCGCTTCGTCGCTGGACTCATATAAAAGATGTATTACAAGTTGGGTCGATGAGATGAGGTGGGTGTGGATCAGCGGGCTATTAGCCAGCCACCTGTCTGGCACTCCATATTTTAGACAGATACATAATTTCTACAAACCTGTCTAATTTTCATTGAAAATTACACGTAAATTACAAAATAACCATAAAGAAGAAACAACAAATAGATTAGTAAGTCTACAGACTACAGACTAGCAACTGCTATTTTCTATTTTGATAAAGTTTTTAGCAGACACTTTCTATTTTACGGCTTTTTTACCGACCGTTCGTAGAGGTGAAGACAGTATAGAGCGCTAAAACACCGAATGACGATCGAGTGTAACTGTTTTATGGCAAAGACTCTGGAGTATAGCAGTATTTACCGAGTCGCACAAAGTAAACAGAGTGAGGCGTGTACACCGTGACCTGAAATGAACATGTAACTGACGCAAACATACAGACAGAATTACGCGTAACCGTTGGTTTGATACATAATGTAATATTTTATGATAATATTAATATGTCATAAATAATTTCAGAATGCCGACTGGAGTGAGCAGTACACATGGGCGGTGTTTAAAGCTATGTCACATATGTTGTGTATTGGTTATGGTAGATACCCGCCAAGTGGTACAGTAGATGTATGGTTAACCATGCTAAGTATGATATCTGGCGCTACGTGCTACGCACTATTCATTGGGCATGCAGCAAACCTTATCCAATCTATTGACTGTTCTGCAAGGGTCTACAGAGAGAAGGTAACAACTTATATTTGTTGAAAAAAACATACACATTTAACAAAGGAAAACAGCAATACTAACATCATCTCGGAGAATATGACAATAGCTTAAAACAAAAATTAAGAAGGTTTCTATAGATCAACCCCTTATATATATAAAGTTAATTACACGCCACTTTGCGACACATTGTCACTATCTACAATGTATCATTGACTTTTTATGTGCAACTTGAAAATTGAAGTGTGCATACTGTATGAATATTCACTATTTCAGTACAAACAAGTTGAGGAGTATATGGCGTTTCGTAAATTACCCAGAGATCTGCGCGAACGTGTTGCTGATTATTACGATCATCGTTACCAAGGTAAATTTTTCGACGAGGATGCCATATTGGATGAGTTGTCACGGAAACTGCGTGAGGTGAGTATTATTTGAATTCACGTCATATACTGGGACACTACTAGACAAACAAGCATCGTAAAATAATATAAGCGTACGTCATAAGGTATTGGTACATTTTTTTCTATATTCAATAACGTGGTTTTCATGGGTTCTCAACAATAGAAAACGACAACAACTTAACTGACAACAAATAATTTCTCGTGTATTGAAAACCTAATGTTTCTAACCACTAAAATGCTACTCAAAAAATTAACAATGTCGATCCTGAAGTAATGTTGAGTTTGTCGATATACTGAAGGATGAATACTAAATGAATACTAAACTAACAAATATACCAAATGCAATACATTACCCTGTTTTGATTGCCTGAAAGCAAATAGAGAGATTATATTTTACCAACATTTCAGTTGCACGAATACGATCCTTGAGACGTTTTCAAACTTATAAATGATTAGTGACTGGTGTTTTATTCTAGGATGTGGTAAATTACAACTGTCGTGACTTAGTGGCATCTGTCCCGTTCTTTAGAGATTCTGATGCCAACTTTGTGACTCGCGTTGTGACCAAACTCAAATTTGAAGTCTTCCAACCTGGCGATGTAATCATTAAAAACTATACATTTGGTGACAAAATGTACTTTGTACAGCAAGGTACTGTGGAAATTCTATCCCCACATGACGAGGAGCGAATAATAACTACTTTGACTGAAGGCTCTTATTTTGGAGGTAAGTATGCTATATAAACTGTCATTACGTACACACATACTACTCTATGTACAACACAATACGATAGACTTCCCGCTGGTGATCTCTTTCCCAAAATGTCGATAGCGTCGATGGCTACACGACAAATAACATGTTTTTGTAAACGTGTACGCAGCAACTTACAAGGTTTCTATAAGTCGCGACGAAAAGTATGCTAATTTGATTGATTTGATATTTGATTGATTTTTAGTTGTCAATCAATAACATTTTTTTTTTTGAGATTCACTATATTTTGTTGAACGACTACAATTATAACCAAACAGTTATTGCTACAGTCGCGCTCCGTCGCCAGAGGATGCGAATGATATGGGTATTTTTTTCTTAAATGCGATGTTTTTTGCTGACGATTCGCCACGTCGATGTGAATTCCACACCGATGTTTCTCGTGCCTGTCAAGTTATCGTTTAAATTTAAAAGGGGTGAAAGTTTTAGAAGATTAACATGTAAGCGTTGCATTGGATAAGATTTCGCAGAAAACTCGTATGTGCTACTTGCACGTGAATACCCTTATGTATTTTTGTTTACCTTTCAGAAATATGTCTCTTAACGCGTGAGCGACGAGTGGCCACGGTGAGAGCAGAAACGTATTGCCATATATTCTCCCTGTCCGTAGACAATTTCAACGAAGTCCTTGAGGAATATCCAGCCATGCGTAAAACTCTGGAAAAAGTCGCTGCCGATAGATTGACTAAGTTAGGGAAAGATACTAGTGCTGTGGGTACGTGCTCCTGCCAATGTGGGTCGTCCAATGCTGCTAAAACAAACAATTCATCTGGTAAAACTGCGTCGACAGGTGGTAATTCACATGCCGCTAGTCGCGTTCAAAAAACGAATACTGTAGATACAGAAAATAATGGAATGACACAAATCGAAATTTATGAAGAATCATCCAATGGAATGCCACGAAACAACGAAACAATTAATAACCCCCAAACCAACATCCAAACGGAATCATCAAATAATGTAATTGTTGTGTGAAATCCGGCACCATGTGTGAAGTTCGTTTATAGTGTTTTAATGGGAGTAGTTATCATTAAATCTAGTAAACTACAGCCTTTCAGATTTCTTTTCAATTCAAATAATATACATCTAATACTACAGCTTCTCGTGAAGGAGCTTTCCATTGCAATATGCAATATGGAAGATATGTTACCGGTAAAAATGACCAAATTTTATGATTTATCGTAAAATTGAAATGTTTTACAGCATACTGTAGAATATTTGTTCAATGAAAATAAAAACGCCCACGCATGCGCAATGATTGCTATTGTACGTACGTACAAGAATTTAATCGAAAAACCACGATATGCTACAAGAACAACCCGCTTAGCTCTGATAATTCATAATATAATGTATTCATCAAGATACAGAATCAAACAGCATTACAATAGCACACTCGTCCATATTGCATCTTTAATGGAAGCTGCATCCTATGAAACAGTTTTATTTATACTATAATCTGTCTTTTGTCTCCCATCACCAAGTTCAGGATAAGACTCTGGGTTTTTGCTTAGTTTTGGTAATTTTTCTTTTCAGAGGGTTTCCAAAGATTTATACAAACCTGGTATTAAACCTGAGCTGAAATTATATTGAAAAATTCGAAACCTTTTTAAAATATTAAATATGTTTGAATATACAAGTTTGTGTTACCATGGAAACTTAAAATTATACTTTCACAACCCCAACAAATTTTCACAGAAGTTACTTTTCTCAGATTGAACACTTGGTGGTGTCCTATTAAATATTGTGTGGGATGTTATGAAATATATACAAGACACAGCAAAATGTAAAATTATCTACCAATATCAAGACAAACTGAAGCGTACAAGTAGAAGAGTGGGCCAATGATGTGGCAACTAAGATCATAGTGAACTACATGTTGCTTTCAACCACAAACCACTTGCTTAGCTCATTGGAATGGATTAAGTCAACATGCATTCTCATAGCTTCTTGACTAGACAAGTTCCAAACCAGGGTGTTGCTGCTCGTTGAGCAACAGAGTTCTGAAAAACAGTCCTCTTAATAAGTGGGTTTGTTGAAAACAAATATGACCAGTAGAAGAGTGCTGTATGGAACAAAGAATTAGTACTTTCCCTGTAAACTGGCTTTGTTTGGAGGCAAGAAAGCATACTTTTCTAGTAACCATCTGTTATCGAAGATAATACTCTTTTTTGCTCATCATAGAGCCTCACTCATACTTTAAAATAAAATCAATACATCTGTTTAATATAACAATTTATTAGTGACACTTACAATTTAAAAAGTTCACCCCTCATCTTTTTAACCAGAGCCCTCTGTTACATGACAACTAACACTTCAATAATCTGTCCTTGAATCATCCAGCCACATTATGAAGTAATGATGGTTATCAGAGCATCTGGTTCACTGTATTATTCAGTAAATCAAGGTCTAACAGAACTCTCACTCACTCAAAACTAACCATTATCCCTTAATCGGTGAATAAAAAGACACATTAAAATTTTATATTGAAATTCACAATGTACATTTGCTTGAATTTAATTTCTACAAGTGACATGATAAACGTTTCTTCTAACAAAACCTGAAAGGGATTCAATATGATAGAGAAACTACAGCCAAAAACAAATCAAGACAAACAGAACCCTGCCAGTAACTATACACCAGACTGTCTGGAGACAATCCTTTAGTGCAAACCAAAACAATATTAGTTACTTGGAAAATTGTCAAATTTGTCAGTATGGTGCATCATATCTGGAACCAAGTCAAGTATACTATTCTGCAAATGATGTAGGATAACAAATATATTTCAATTGAATCAAGATGGCAAAATTTCTTTCATACACTCGTATACTAAAAAATGGAAGTTGAAAATATAGAATGTAAAAACAATCAGCACAACTAATGTTAATCCTATAACAATCACATACTATACTATATTTATTAGTGTAAAAAACAACACATTGAGAAAACCAGTCAAAAACAAATGTTATGATAAACAAAAATTGTAACGTCAAATTTTAAAAATTGGTTGTGAAGAAGCAGCACCTATGATAGTCAATGTTCATTTTACGCATGTCAAATTGCTGTTGGCTAATTTAAATGGCCAATGTGTATTATTAAAGCAACAAAAATACCACATTATTGTCATCTTTATCACAGAACGGATGTCATAAGACGAGACAAAATAAACGTTACAATAAAATTACTGAGAAATTTACATATAATACAAATCCTCAGGTCAGAATATGTACAGAGACGCTGCCAACACACATCTACCATCTTGACTCACAAAAAGTTTCATACAATGTTGATATTTTGTGAATTGATTAACGACTGCATAGATAGTGTGAAGACATGCATATCATAACTATACATAAGGATAAAGAGATAACTCAAAATTTACACATAAAAAGTAAACCATCATATTGTGGAAACATTTTTGAACAAAAATCACTTTTCATAAAAAAACAACATAAGAATAAATTGTAAATCAATCAGAAAAAAAAATGTACATTTCTTGAAGACGATAACTTACTGTAAATGTATTAATTATTCACTGGCTTTTAATTTGGCTAATTAGTAAAATGTGCTAAATTAAATCCATGTGAACATGTCAAGTAACATTAGGACTCATTGTAAACTTAAACCTAGCAAATATGCTCACAATACCGAAACAGTGAAATTAAAATGCCAGTGAAAAACAATGGTTTTAACAGTACATAGTTGGAAGTGTTTATGCGTTATCAATAACTGCAAATGTGATGCACAGTATAAACTGAAGATGAATGCACGAGATAATCAGTATCTCCGTTTGAACATTTATGGTAACATCAATATATAATTCAGATTTCAGCTATAAACACAGATGTGAAATTAAAAATAAAACACATTTTAGTCAGTCATCCTAACAATTAGTACAACAAACACAGTGAAAAGTTGTGAATAGTGTTGATGTTTAGGAGTTAATATTGCGTAGTCTGATATCAGCTTCTTTGCTTGAATTATCATTCAGTTTCTTTGAACTGTCAACAAAAAAACACAGAAAAAACTGTACATTGAAAATGTGACCAATCAATAAATCATGTTCAATTTCGAAGCAGGCGAATCACAAACATTCTGGAGTCTATTCAGCGGTAGCAAATTGGAGAAATTGACGCAGACAGCTGGGGTAATTTTTCTGATATTATAAACCTCAATTATGTGTTGAACAACAATTATGTGTTGAACAATTTAAACTACCAAACTAAGATTATTACTTACGGTAATTCATCATCATCTTCATCTTGAGCTTGTTTTCCTTTCTGTCGTTTTTCACAAATCAGAATAATTGCACATAATACAACAACTTCAATTAAAATACCAATAAATGGCCAAAGAGCAGCCAAACGATCTAAAGAGTTGGGGGAAAAATATAAAAATTAAACTAAACAAGACGAATAGTATGACAAACAAACAGGACACAAGACAATGAGTAATTGCATTACATACATGTAGTCCCCATTCAGAGTTCTCAAGTTCAAGAAATATAGAAAATTTGAATATGATCAGTCAGGCTCTGAAAGTCCGTTTGTTAAAACAAAACAGCCACCAAATTTTGAATATAATCCGAAAAACAAAACCTCATCTCCTAGTTTCCAGCTCTATGTTTGAACCAAACATCCAAAAATGCTTGATTTTGATAAATTGTAATCATTAAAATGGCCACCATTTGGCCATCTTTAAGTATCCAATGAAAATTTGAACATGATTGATCAAGACATGTCAAAGGTACATGTATGGTCTGGAACAGAATTTGTTAAAACAAAATGGCTGCCAGTCCGATCTGAGAAACAAATTGACATGCATCAAGGTCCCATAATGTCTGCTGTTTGCACCAAGTTTGAATAATATCCGTCCATAAACAAACAAGATCTGGCTTTGGAATGGCAGAAATGCTTGATTTTTATAACAAATTGACAGCAGTCAGCCATTTTGAAATGAATCATGAAACAAATTGAAGTCCAAATGTATCTCAAGATGTTTGATTATGTGTGTGAAGATTGAATGTGATCAGTCCAGGCATGTTCAAGATACACAGACAAACACACACAGGTTGTCCACAAGTGTCTGTTTTTGGACATCATTAAGAACAAGTAGCTGCTTTGACAATCAGTTAATTACCTTTAACTCGTAGCATACACTCTTCAGAGTCGTATGTGTAATCATTTGCTGCAGTACAATTGTATAAAGCTCTGTCCTCATGCTGAACACTCTTAATAATTAAAGTGGATATAATCATCTCTGGTTTGACTTCCACTGATATCCATACACGCCCTTTTTCAGTGCCATTTACAAGTTCCACTGTACCACTTTCTTCACTCTCTTTATACCAAACTACAGAAGGTACAGGATATCCTTGTATTTCACATTTGATGTGTGCAGTCTCACCTTCCTCTAGATTAACAGACTGCTCAAGCTCCACTGCTACAACAGCTGTAAATTAACAAGAAGATACTTATTAAAGGTGTCAATCAATACAAAATGTGCCCATTTTTTATGTCACTTGAGTAAGCAAGCCTCCATATGAGAAAAAGCAAAACTACTCCAACACTTTCTGGAGTAAATGGAATAAGGAAAGGAAAGGAAACATTTCACAGGAATATGAAGTAAATCAGATATGTTATGTGTACAATAAACTGGCTCAAAATGCTACAACACTAACCTTGGATTTCTACTGATTCCTTTTCAATTAAAGACTTTCCATCAAGTATATGTTCAATAAAACAACTGTAAACCCCGGCATCTGTCACCTCACTGTTTACGATTATCAGAGTGTTGTTTTCTTTGACCAATACATCGTTGTCTCCATCCTTATCCAAATCAGTCCCATTAATCTTAACACCATTCTTTTCCCATTCCACATCTCTTCCATTAGTGGCACAGTATATAGTTATATTTTCTGCTTTCTTAACTTCAATAATTGGATCTTCAGGTTTTGTGGTCATTCTAATATAAGGTGCTGTAATAAAAGCATATAGATGTAGTGGTGCATACCCACACACACACATATAGATGTAGTGGTGCATACCCACACACACACATATAGATGTAGTGGTGCATACCCACACACACACATATACATGTAGTGGTACATACCCACACACACATATGGATGTAGTGGTGCATACCCACACACACACATATACATGTAGTGGTGCATACTCACACACACACATATACATGTAGTGGTGCATACCCACACACATATACCATGTATGTATTGGGGTCTAAAAACTAACTCTGCGACGGGATTGTGCGACTCGCCGAATGTTGATTATTGCACTCTGCGACAGGGTCGCAGTGTCACTCTGCGAAGAGCACGATTCCTATTGGTTGGTGGGTCGAACAGCGCAAATTCCAATGGTCGATGTTCACTGCATGACTTATAAAAAATTAAGTTTTAAATGGTAAAAATGGTACGGTAAAAAAAACAAGACATGAAATGTCACAGTCCCCGTTATTTGATTATAAAGTAGTACAAGGAACATCTGCAAACAGGTGAATGAATATGTACTCTATGTGGGTACAACTCATCATAAAGTGATTTCCCATAATCTAGTTTTGTACTGACAACTAAAAACTTCCACTGACCCATGTTCAGAATCTCAGAGTACACAAGTGCAACA